GGGTGTGCGAGAAGTAAAATGAGGTGTGTGGATAGCACACCCATTCTTTAAATTATACGTCTTTTCCTTGTTCGCAAGTCACCAAAGTAGGTAGCTATAGGAAGGAGATTAACTACCATGGGGTGACTCAATAATTGAGGAGAATTTCAGGGTGTATTTCACATGGCTGGTCTTAGCTAAGTCCTATTCCTGGTGCTGGTGAATCAAACGATGGTGGCAGAGGAGGCTAAACTACCTCTATGAGTCTTTCCGCCCCCCGATAGGATGGACTGTCGTGACTTCGCCACTAGCTGGTCCTTTTTTTTAAGGAGATTATGAAATAAATTTATAATGTATGTAGCTCACAATTGCATTAGTATACAAGAACGGGATGCATCTAAGTCATCTCAACTGAATTATACATACAATATCACGATCGACTACTACATGCAATTTGGATATCATACTAACTTGATCATCACTCACACTCAGAACAATCGAGATACGACCAAGTGGGGCACTAGTGATTAAAATGTATCATGTGCCCACAGACCCACGCCACCATACTCCTACTCATGACAACACGAATGGCGTGGTGGCAGGTGGCAAACAAGTAAGTTTATTAGTGTATTCAAAATACTGTCACGTGTTGTTACTATTTTACCCGTTCCGCTCGAATTTTAACGTGTGGATTGGAAAAGTCCAGTCAACGAGAGGTGAGACACATCAACTCTGCCTTTCATTTATATTATATAATACGCTAAATAATAGCACCATATGATGCTTCAAGGGATATACACAAAAATTTCGTGGCAAACAGGCAATGCAGAAAGTAGCCATTTAGGAAGATGATGAAGGAAAAAAAATAAATTTAGCAGAACTTTTGTGAGTGATGAGGGCAGATACATGGTAGAGATGCATGGTGGCCATGCAATTAATGTAAATGGTCAGTAATAGTGAAAGGAGATAGAGAGAGTGGGTTCATCTCCAACGTCCAAACCTCATCCATGAAGATTAGAAGCTCTCGTTGACTGAGATTTCCCTATCACATTTTTCAGAAGAGGCACGGGGGGGTGTGGTGTGGGGGTGAATATAAAGCAAGGCAGTTCCAGAGCTGTTGCCCATCATGTCTTCAGCTTCGTTAGTTAAGAGCTTTAACCTCACCTCCTCCGCCCTCTCTTCCGCTACCAGCAGGAAACCTAGTAATATTTGTGCCAGGATCAGCACTTCTTCTTCTCCTTGTAGATCTCCTCCCCCTAACCTAATCCAAAACAAGCCTGTTACCTCCGTTCCTGCTATCACTCGGGTACTCTTATTTCTCTCTCTCTCTCTCTCTCTCTCTCTCTCTCTCTCTCTCTCTCTCTCTCTCTCTAGATCCTTCAACTCATCATGTGTACATTACTTTCAACTAGTGTATATGACAACGTGACTAGTGACTACCTATATACTCTTCTACATCGAAAATCTGACAACGATCGCTGATATAATCCGTTGCAAGAATGGAATGGGTAAAAGGTCTACTAGCAACTTGCAAGTAATATCCAACGATACAACCACTAATATGCCTTTTACCTATCCCATTCTGTGCTACTCGTAATTATTGTCAGTTTTTCTTGTAGTGGCAGCCGCTTTATATGAGAATAATATGTATTGCCATTGTTTGAAACTTTATTTATCTCTTCAACAATATTTATGTCCTGATAGCTCTTTGGTTCACGTGGTAAAACTTCTAAAGTATAGAAAGAAAATTAATTGGTAGATGGAACTCTACTGGTGTCCAATACCAGCCTCGAACACGTTTGATTATACATATACACCTCATCATCTATAATTAATCAGTGTTCTTATCACTCAACTAATCCTCTTCTTATCGGGATGACGTGGACGCTTTTCATTGATTCAACATCCTTAAAAAATGACATGTGTATGGTTTGAACCAAAATGAATAAAAAGGAAAATTACACATGTATGGTACTAATTTTCCCTAATAAATATTTAGGTGACGTAAAAGGGTATAAATTAATGTTCAGATATTATTTGCGTGTGTGAAAAATAAGTAGAAGGAAGAAATGTCAAAGGAGTACGAAGAGGCCATTGCATCTCTCCAGAAACTTCTCAGTGAGAAGGAGGAGCTGAGGGCTGAAGCGGCTGCGAAAGTGGAGCAGGTAACAGCTCAGCTGGCGACGGCCGAGGCCAACGGCGCCACCAAGCCTTATGATGCCGCCGAGAGGCTCAAGAGCGGCTTCATTTACTTCAAGAAAGAGAAATACGAGTATGCTCTCTTTTCTTGTTAAATAGAGGATTAAACGAGATTCGCCTTCAGACTGACGTCATATATATATATGAAGTTGCATGCGGACAAATTAATAACCATTTTCTTCCTTAATTTAACAGCAAGAATCCGGCTCTTTACGGTGAACTTGCCAAAGGACAATGGCCCAAGTTTATGCTGTTTGCATGCTCGGATTCTCGAGTCTGTCCTTCACATGTTCTGGATATGCAGCCAGGAGAGGCTTTTGTTGTCCGCACAGTTGCTAACTTGGTCCCACCCTATGATAAGGTTTACACATTTCCTCGTCCTTTTCTCTCTTTTGTCACAAGAAAATGCGGCTTCCCTTTTGTGTGTCCCTATATATGTATGTATATGTATATATGTTTTAATTTAGTTTTATCTGTGTTAATAGACTAAATACGCTGGAACTGGGGCGGCCGTTGAGTATGCTGTCTTGCATCTCAAGGTAATTAATTAATCCATGCATTTTGGTTTAATTTCTTGGTTTTGTAATAATTAATCATATTTAGCTAAATGCTTTTTTTATTACTAATATTAATTAATCTTTTGTATGTACTATTACTATATGTATGTATAGGTTTCATACATAGTGGTGATTGGGCACAGCGCCTGTGGAGGAATCAAGGCGCTCTTGTCGATTCCAGAAGATGGGTCTACCCTTGGCACGTAAGCAAACAAGCCACTCTTTATCAGCTTAGGGTTGTTTGGAATTGTTCTTAACTTGTTAGAAGTGCTTAATTTCTGAAGAACCACATGTTAGTTGCTCCAGAAAGCGCTTTTACAAGCCAGAAACACCTTTAGCATTTGCTGTCAAACGCACTCATAGCTGTTTTTGGTTGTTAGAAAGTTTACTTTCTAGCTCTTTCAGTAGCAACCCCAAACAAAAAAACTTAATTATTATCTTAATTATGAAATGATGGGAAATTAACATATAAACATGTGCATGCTGGATGCATGGATGATGCAGTGACTTCATAGAAGACTGGATTGGTATCGCATCGCCGGCAGGGAAGAAGGTGAAGGCAGATCATGGTGCCGATGCTCCTTTCGCTGATCTATGCGGCCACTGTGAAAAGGTAAGTACGGATATAAGAATCCATGTACTTAATTACTAGTTAGCGCCGTATTAATTTACTAACTGACTGAAACGAGTGCAGGAGGCGGTGAATGTATCGATCGGAAACCTGCTGAGCTATCCGTTTGTGAGAGAGGGTTTGCTGAAGAAAACCCTAGCAATCAAGGGAGGATACTATGACTTTGTCAACGGACGTTTCGAGCTCTGGGATGTTGATTTCAGCCTCAACCCCATCTTCTCCGTATGATCGTAATCACATTCCCATGCAACTCAATTGCTTCCTGTTTGTAATTTCCTTCTTAATTTCATCTGCAGCGTCGTCTGCAAATGTAATCGTATAATTTCCTTGAGATTGTAATCGTTTGCGAAAAAATAATAAACGGAGATCCAGGTTGGCTCCTTCGTTCATCATTTCACATGCAAAATTTATTTAATTTTCCGGTTTAAATTTTGTTTACGTTGAGAGTACTGCAATTTTGTTGTTTGTTGTTTGTTTTAGCCACGGTGACTACCGTACTGCACAGGAAGCTGTAGGGCATATGGGAGGAGATATTTTTTAGGGTGCCGGAAACACGGTTGGGTACACAATATTATAATACAATTGGTGTACTGAGCCGTGTTTCCGGCATACTGAAAAATCTGAGAGAGACAAGTGATGAATCATTGCAAAGATGAAGTGATGAATCATATTAATTAATTACACATATGATGATAACGCGGACCGGGTTTAATTATGTTGATGCACAAAACCGGAGGTTTTGGAACAACGTAAATCCGACCGTGAATCTGCAAGTAATGTAAATGACACAAGATGTATCGTGGTTCACCCCAAGGTTTGGGCTACGTCCATACTGATTGTATTATATTTATGGGGGCCAAAGGCCTATTTTGATGGATCTCTCTCTAGCCTTGTGTTGGCCTTGATGTTTTGCCCTCTCTTAGCCTCAACCTTCGCCTCAAATTGGCTCCCCCCATGAAGAGAGTGAGGAGTCCCTTTTATAGAATAAGGGCTCCTCACTTATTACATATTTGCCCCTTCACTTATTGCATAATTACATTTGAGTCCTCCGAGTATTTATACAAGGTCTAAATACGGAGGCCCTAAATATGGTATAAACAAATTATATTTAGACGGTTTAGGCCACCTATCTTTCATTTCAAGAGTTGAATGTTATAATCTTCATCTATCACAAGTTCTCCTTAATATTTCTAGCTAGCGTTTTGGGTTGTTCAAATTTTCGCCTAGCCATTGTGATCCTTCCATTGTGCTTAATTTGAATGATCATACTCGTAGATTAAAATAGTTTAAAATACGGCTACACTTACACTATCATACTTGAGCCAACCATTAACACTAAACGTTGAGACTGAAAGCGAGTCAACTTGTCTCACAAAAATAACTAATAAGTGCGCAATACTAACGTACACAATAAGCTAATACAATTACAAGATCTTGCAATGCATAAGTTCGAATTCCACTATCGGCAACCCCTCTTGATGAGCGATCTGTAAAACTAAAAAATTGGCTAAAACCCCTCTGAAAGGCTCCGCTCCACCTAAACTTTTTGGTATTAAAAAAAATGCAATAGTGATAAACAAGAAATCGAAATATCGGCAGCTACCCATTGGTCCTTTTGCAGTTGAGGACATATTTGGGCGGTATCCGACTATAAATAAACCCGACCCATACACACATACAAGCATAGTTGTGGTGTTCAGTTCTGCATCACAAACATGGAAGATTCAACTTACCATATATCAAAGGATCAATTGTTAACTGAAACAGTTTATGTACAAGACCCTTCCATAAGACTATCAATACACAAACGATGGCGATATGTCCCGTTTTTTCGGTTAACCGAGAATTCATCAGATCAAAGGCGATCCGTCCCCATACGTACTGCATTTTACATACACATGCTGAACCATTTAACTGGTCATGTCTCATGTCTCGTCGGCCTTTGGTTCAAGTAGAACAGGGATTTTCTCCTTATGATCACCACGCAACACCTCCACAATCACCTGGGTCCAAAAGATTACATTATAATGTTGAAATACGAAAAAAAGGCCGAAGGGAGAAAAGTGCGTTTGTGCTAGAATGGTTCCAGATTTTTACAGGGTAGTTGGAAATTAAAAGGGACAGTGTGATATGATAAACGAACATACCTTATCGCCCACTTTACACTGATCGAGAATTCTATACAAGTCGCTGCCATTGCTGACCTTTTTTCCATTCACAGATGTTATAATGTCACCCAATATGAGTCTACCATATGTGTCACGCTTGGTTGGTAGCAGTCCCTGCAAAATGGAGGTTCATCAGCTCCCCTTTAGTCATTTTATCTAACAAAAACAAAATTATTTCTGTCGTACATGAAACTTCGAATAGAAAAACAGGAAAGGAGAGAATACCGCTTTGCCAGCTGGACCGTTAGCTGGTGCGTCTAAGACGAGCACTCCACTAACCCCCAACTGTTCAACAGACTGATCAGGTGCAAACTTAATCCCTAAAATGGGTCTAGTGACCTTCCCAAATTTGACCAATTGGTCAACAATACCACTTACCTGAACAGGTAAAAAATTAAAATGTAAGTCAGAAGTTTTATCTCAAAGCATGTTAATGAAGGAATGTCAAAAGAAGGAACTTCACATGATATCTACTCACCGTGTCAACTGGAATTGAAAATCCAACACCGGATGATGCACCGGATGGAGAATATATAGCTGTGTTTATCCCGATAAGCCTTCCTGTACTATCTAGAAGTGGCCCCCCACTGTTACCAGGATTAATGGCTGCATCTGTCTGTATAACGTCTTGAATTGGACGGCCAGTAGCAGCAGAACTAATTTCTCTACGAAGCCCACTATAAATAACAGAAAGAATGCATCAGCAAAAGAGTGTAGAATGAGAAGGAACCGAAAACAGACCACTGCCGCCAATCCAAACATGTCAAGATAGAGTTCATGGAATTTGTACCTGATAACGCCAGTGGTAAGAGTATGGTCAAGCCCAAACTGCAAAGTTATATAAAAAGGAAATCAAATTGTCAGTTAGTTCAACCATTTGCTTAAAGCCATAACGAAACCCTTCACAGAATATAGTGAGTGAAGGATCGTGCAATTATAAGCCCTGTTACAAGGAGGAGACGTTCCTTCATAACCAAACCCAAAGATCATTAAATGTTCTTAAGCTTATTCAGCCTCTGTTTGATAGTAAGCACAATCATGTTGGTAGAAAAGAGGTGTAGAATACTGCACTTAACTTATTATCTACCAATAATTGAACTAAATGAGCATCAAGTATCTTAGTTGTATTTGAAAGAAAAAGATAAGCATAGTGCAGAAGACAGGTTGAAAGTAAAGTAATACTTACAGGATTACCGATAGCAAACACTTTCTGACCAACAAGCAAGTCTGCAGATTGACCAATTGGTATGGGCCTTAGTTTCTCTTTGGGGGCATCAACACGTAGAACAGCAACATCCTTGTCTTGGTCAAATCCAACAACTTTTGCATCATAAGTAGACTGATCAGCAAGTGTGACCCTGTAAAAAAAGTAACAGTGGTATAGAATACAATCACCAACCATGAGAAGTGCCACTGTCAACGAATCGAAAATGAATCTAACCAAAATACATTTTGAAACGACCAAATGACGTCAAACAAATAATTTGAATTTGTTACCAAAGGGTGTCCCAAGCACGACCAGAGAAAAAGCAAGTATACTGAAGAATGGCTTATAAGAAGAGTGAGGTGATGAAGGCACTAAATATGGAGAAACAAATCTATGAAACAGACATACAGTGGACTCAATTCCATTGGTGGCAGAAGCGTTTCCAACATTTACGAAGGATTCAGAACCCAATGAACTAAAAAGAGTCTCAAAGCTTCAAATGCAAATGCAATCCATTTACATCTTATAATCCGGGACTCTCCAAACTCCATAAGTCTAATGACATGATGCTTATGTTATGGGCAATCATGGATGCAAGCTGCAAACTTCAGCAAAATTACAACGAGCTTATCATAACCGAAGTAGGTCAAAATGAATAGAGAACTCATATATATTTAACACGATTTGGTTACCAATACATTTGATGCTTAGGCAAAGCAGAACCATATTAAAGAATCACACTTTTCTCATACCACAACCAAGTTACAACGTCCAAACCAAACTTCAATGCAACAAAAGAGTTGATGCATTTCAACAAAGAACGAATCAAAAACCAACTAACCTGAGATCGGAAGCACCACGAATCACGTGGTAATTGGTGACAATGTGGCCGTCTGTATCCCACACGAAGCCTGACCCAGACCCCTGCGGTACCTCAAACACGTCCAGAGTAAACGCATCCTGCCTAAAACCCACAAACACCAATCACTCCAAAATCACAATCCAACCACAACCCAGAAATCACAAACAAAACAGATATCGAAAATGCAGACATGGCGGCTACAGCGAATGTGCTCTCTATGCACCCGAGTTCGAATCCCGCTCTTCGCAGTTTAGATTGATTTAAAGTAGGATATAGCTTGTACATAAAAACTAATAGAAACTGAAAATATTTAAAAAAGTGGCCCAATTTTTCAGCAAAATCCAAAATGTTCAAACTTTAACGGTACCTGGCTGCAAGATTGGTGATGTAAACAACAGAGGGAGTGTTCTCCTGAAAGAGCTGAACCGTGGCGAGCTCATCGGACTGCAGCTTCTTCGGCGGAGTGACGACGAAAGCCGATGCCGGATCCACATCGGCGATGAACAGGGAAAGCGACAGAACCGCCGAAGCGCAAACAATGAGGAGAGATTCGACGACCGAGGAGAACGGGTTCCTGGTGGCGAGCAGAAGCTTGTGGAGGCATGGCGGACAGAAGGCCCTTTGCTGCGGGATCAGAGACCGCTTCTGGGTTTTGTGGGGGAGGAGGGAGAGGATGGGGGAGGCTGAGGCGGCGGGTTTTTGGCGGGAGAAGGGTTTGGAGAGCGGGAAAGGAAGGAACTTTCTGTTTGGGGAGCGAGAAAGTGGAGAAAAAGAGTGGAAGTGCGTGGAAATCAGTGAAGAAGAAGCAGCCATCTGGTTTTTTTTTTTTTTTTTTGGACGGCTGCCCTGAAAGGATTGCCCGGTTTGATTCCGGCGATATTTATATCCAAGCAAAAATTATATAACGAACATTGTGGATTAATGTGGATTGTACTCTAGCGAGAGAGTTGGTGGGGACCTGGGACCCTCTTATGTCTGAGCTCCCGTTTACGAGAATGATTTATATGAAACGAATTTAGTATGATTGTGATAATACATTATTATTTTTAAATTTTATTTTATGTATTTAACGGTAAATTTACTTTATGCAAGTTACTTTTTTGTTTGGGGGTTTTTAGAGAGCTAAAAATTGTTTTTGATAATAAAAAATACTTTTAATTACTGTTGTTAAAAAAATTTAAATATTTTAGGACTA